TTTCTTTTACAAATACGCGCTCGTTACCATTGCAAAAATATAGGCACCCCTCTAAAGAGCTCACGAGGCTTCGGACAAATCGACGCCAACCACTTTCCGTATAGAATCAGGTGACGGTGCTTGGCGACGCAGGCCATCTGCGTTGTCGCGTCGTGTCGGCTATTCGTATGCCAATCGGGTAATACTTGTTAAATATATACACACTTGTGTGTGTTTATAACCAGATGGAATTTTTAGCTAATGTTGCGCGTGGTTGTGCGCATTTCATTTCGTTGGTCCACTGCTTGTCCCGGTGGTGCAGCACTTTTGCGAGAAAATTGAATTTTTCACTTGGTACATCTATTTAACTTTCAAAAAAATCTCGAAGAAGGTCCTTGGATACATCCTCAACCTGCTCTGGGGGTTGCTAGCGAGGTTGCAAGAATACGCTGAATCGGTGCATGCTATACACATCTTTCGTACAATAGACGTTGCGCGACTTTAACTACCGGGGAAAAAGACGTGCTCCTGATGGCTCAATATATTCGCAATTATATTGTCAATTTTTCGTAATCGCGTTCTACTGCAGCGTAAAAATAATTTTCATACGTTAGCGTGCAGATTCTCGGGTTATTGTGTTCTTTGTATCAATTTTTTTTTTTTTTTTTATTTAGCGCACTTTTATGCGCACTCATACATGCGTACATGTACCAACAACACAGATGCTCGTTGTTTATCTTCGTTGGAGCGAAGAAACATCGACAAAAACTGTAGCGGATATGAATGAAAAAAAAAAAAAAAAAAAAATCACACGCATCTCAAGGACCCCACGACGCGGGCGTGACTTTGCCTGTGTTTGCTCGGTCTGAAAAAATACCAATTAAGTATACACATACTCTCAGCCCGGCTGGCTGACTCAGGGATTTCTCTTTCCGTCCGGCTAAAAATAAAAAAAAATAAATAACAAAAATGTATATGTACGCGCGCGCGCGAAATTGTACACATCCGTACATAGTGGAAAACTGCGTAGAAGGAAAATTGGAAAACTCCTCGAGAGATACTGCTCTTTTGCTGTGTAGTTTAACAAATGGCCACGTAAAGCCTCGGTTTCTATTTCCAATAGTGCCCGCTAACGAAGCTCCGCATCTATTTCGGACTTTTTTAAATGATTGCGATTACACAAATTACTTCGAAACTCCATCAATTACAGGGTACCATCGACAAAGTGATACAATTTACGGCTCTCGGCTTTTTTTTCACTTATACGAAAATTGAGCTTCTCACTTTTAACGGACACCATCTCCAGATTTTCTTGTTTTTTAAATAGACCAATTTCAAAAGAGGTAAGGTATCTCTTACGAGCGCGAAAATTGCGCCGGTAAAAATGGCCCCGTCGAAATGGCAAAAATTCATTTATTCACTTACCGTCACTGCTCGCGGGATGCATCTATAGTATAGCGAGCGGAGTAAATTTAAATGTTATAAATTAGCCATTAAAATTCACAAGCGCCTGTTTTCCGTCTTTCGAGCCGTGCTTAACATTTTAACAGCGCGTAATTACGCGCGAATAATAAAACGAAGAATTCCAACGAAAGTGAGGCAGTAAAAATAACGTCGTAAAAATACACACACTCGGCATTATTTTCGTTTTTTTTTTTTTCTCATAATTCTTTTTTTTTCCTACAATTATTACTTCGGGGGAACGGGAGTTAATCCATCCGACGATTTTTGCATAGTTACAAGTCATAGCGCGCATTTTATAAATAGGTTGTTCCATAAAAATGTACATTCCGACCGCCACACTGGAAACTGGGACGTGTACCATCGGTGGGATGAATCTGGCTTTTTTTAAACTCTTTGTCCAGATGACTCGTTTTTGATGCTCGCGAGTTTTTTCTGGATCACCTTTGTTTCTAACGGCGACTCACTTATTTTCCTACGCAGTTTTGTGATATTTTTTATCGAGCACTTTATTATTCATTTGACTTTCGATTTTTCGACTTATGAGACGTTGTGGACACAAAAATGTTCATAAAACGTGACTGTGATTGGCGCTTTATCAAAATTTCACGATTGTAAATTAACCAGGTATTGCGTCGTGGTGTGCGTGAGATGGAGCCTCTTGAAAAAATCGCACCGCGGTATAATAAACTCTCTGGATGTATCTCGACAACACTTGGCCCAACGAGCCATGCTCGGATCAATGCTCGAAGAAAAAGGTGGGGAAAAAATAGCCTCGCGCGAGAAAGAAAAGAGTCGTGGAGGAGGGGAAAAAATGGAAAGAGGCGAGATTTCAAGTTCAGGCTATTCTTGCTCGGTCTTATAATTAGTATGTCGTTGTTGTTGTTGTGTGTCAGTCGAGCGACTATACGAGAGGGGAAGGGGGCCGACCCGCGCACTTGACGCTCCTCGTCTTTGATCCCGGGGGTGTTGATGACTGGAGGGTGTTTGACAATGACACGCGCTACGGGAAACAAAAGGGTTTTGATCCAGGAAAGAGCTAACATGAAAAATGGATACTCTCAATGTTCGGTTTGACGGTGCGGTGAGTTCCGGAAAACACACAAAGCTGCTTTTCCCATGCCCGAGCTCTTATCTCGCGCCCAACCTCCTCACCCTATATATTATACTCCTTATCTCGCGAGCTCATTAATTTCATCACCCGAGTGTATACTACACGCTACTCTCGCCCCGTGTGTGTATCACATGCTCTTTGGAAAATAATTTTGTCGAGTCATCGCTTCGTACAATGAAATTTGTACCCGAGCGACCACCTTTGCCTTTTTACTCGCGATTCAAGCTCTTTTTTTTTGTTTTCTGCAAGCGTATAGCAGATTACGCAATTTACGCGTTATCTCACCGATGATAAGGCGTACGTATGTATACGGAAAAAATTTGCACTTCCACCGTCACCGCATTTTATTGCTCGAGAACGGCTCGCTGTTGCGGAAAAAAGCTGGAGGATGCACCCACACGCGGATATGTAGATTGTAAAAAAAAAAAAAAAAGCATAAAAGTACCTTACGATGGATCACACTGGCGCGCACTGTTTGTTCGGTCTTATCTGCATACTTTATTTTAAGAAGAAAAAGAAAAGGCTCGATGCGTTTTTTTTTGTTCCGCTCGATGAGAGCCGTGAACCGATTCGTGGTACAAACGGGTTTTTAACGGATGATTGTGAAAACATCGGAATGAATCGATTCATATACGCGCTGCACTTGTGAAAACGCCGACGATGTGGAAAAGCGTCGATCGAACGTACACTTGGAGAACTCAAATATATACGAATGCAGCTTTTTTTTTTTTTTTATTTATCTCGTATCATTAAATTGCGTTAATTCGAGCGTATAGAAAATCGTTACGTAAAGGAAATGTCAATAACAAGCTCATACGGGCACTTGATTCGTTTCTCTGTTTATTCTCGCGACTGTAATAATTTTTTTTTTGTTACCCAGTGCATCGCGAATAACTTTGTTTTTTTGGGGGGTACGGCATCGCTCATCGCAATTGGTGTTCGTAGGGAGATTTCGTCATTGCAGCAACGATCGAAACGAAAAATCGCATCAATCGTTGGTTCCCCTTCGTTTCTAAAATTAAAAGCCACAATTACGCAGAGTTGGAAATGCTTATCTATTTGAGTTTTTTTCACTCAAGGAAATTCCTACTTAATGGCTTTTCGATTGCAACACTCGACATTTTTGCGCTATCGTCGCTCGCGCGTTATTTCACTTTTTGTTGTGGCATTACATCAGTAGTTTGTGCACGTGACAAAAAAAAAAAAAAAAAAAAAAAAACATTGTTTACGTGCTTACGGATACTTTATCCGAATTTAATAAATTCAATCGATACATGGCGTCAAAAAGTCGCCTGTATAAATAATACTTTTACGTTTGTTTCAGAAGACGTGGGGTTCAGGAGCGTCGAAATCACGTCCGCCTTCACGCACTTGCCGCAGAAAGGTAAGCCAGTGATTTTTCTTTTTCATAACATATACTACATCCGATACATGAAAGCTGTATTAAAAACGTATGTGGTGCTGGATTTAAAAGAACTGCCGTGAGTTTTTTCAAGAAACTTCTCTCGCCATCATTTGATTCCTCGAAAGCAAACATCGAACCTTTCGGTGTGACAGTTCAAATATTGACTCGACTTTTGTCTAGGCAACTTTATTCCTTTGCACGTATGCATATATTATTAAGTATACATGTTTCGTAAAATTTTAACCAGCGGTATTAATATTAATGAGAGCATGATACACATTTCAAGACTTGTAATGAAAAAAAAAAAAAAAAAAGTTATCAAGCACCATCGATTCTTTGCATTAGATCCTTATCTCGAGCTGCTGCCCGATTTGAAAATCACAAAAAAGCTCTTTAAATTTCAAATCGTTTTTTCGACTTGTCAATCTGTAGATATAAACGCAATGATTGTAAACTCGACGATGGAAAGACGCAAAAAAAAAAAATGGTCGATCTGCTCGTTAGATAAATCGATATAATTACATAACTATTCTTGCGTTCGTCCTCGTCGAAGATAAACAATTCGCCCCGAAATAAATAAACGAAACTCCTTATCTCCTCGCATCCGCGATCTCGCAATGGCCTGGTTATACATAAATCCTCGATTTAATTAAACATTTTCGTAAATTACCGATCCACACGTATAATGTATATTCGACGATGATAATAATAATATGTAACCAACGAAAGCTCATTACACGATAACTTACCCAACGACGGTGATAATAATTATATCCCCCCGACTCTGAACAAAAGCCAAAGACACGCGAACAAAAACAACGCGTGTACATAATATACGTATAGCGAATTCGCGTAACAACAAAAGAGAGATCTAATAAAAGACAAATCGAACGACGCGCTCGAAGGGGCGAGGAGGAGACACAAAGTGTGTTGTACGTATCCCCACGCGCGCGCGGCTTTTCTCTCTGCTTACTCGCTCGCTCCCTCCCACTCGTTTTCGACAACCTACTCCGCGACTCCGCAAGAATCGTCGCGCCGTTAATTCAGTCGTGTCTCGACGCTCGCCACCGCCGAGCCGCCCATCATCCCCGTGGCCGCCTTTCACTGCCTCTTGGTGTCCACTTGCCGTTACACTTTGTCCACGATCCCGGATGCACAACGAGTTTTGCCAGTGGTTTTCATCGTTTTGTCGTTCCGCACAAAAACAACACGATTCAAAAGTGAACGCTGTGGAAAATTTGACGCCAATGATACAGCTCATATATACTCGCACGCGAGATAAGTACGCGGCGGATAGTATGTGAGATCGTGTGCGTGCGCGAGAGTATATCACACGGAGAGGAGGTGCGAGTTCTCGGTGTATATAACATCACGCAGAGAGTGGAAAAATATCGCGCTTCCGAGGATGGAATGTCAGAGTGGACGGTGATAAAAATAGATCGGTATCGTTGTGATGATGGTCGCGGTGACGTCGACGGTGATCGGCGCACTTGTGTGTTTGCAGGAATAACATCGCTCTTACCGAGTCGCGGCATAGACTATTTAATCGCACGCGTGCCTTTTAAAGTGGTTTTATTTTCCCTCTCCTTTCTTCCTCTTTGGTGCTTATTTTTTTTTTTTCTGTACCGCTGGAGCTTACGTAGAATCAGTGATAAGAAAAGCTCCCTTATCGCGCTCTCATGCACGGCGAGCACGTGCTTTTCGGTCAAAGTTTTCCATGCCCTGCCGTTCGAAATCGCTCGCTTGATCGGCAGATCGGTAACAATTTGTGGCGCAGTGGTAAATATTGTGCATAAAATAGTTGCCGAGCATGAACGGCCGATAAGCAAAAACTGAAACAATAAGAAAAAAAAAAAAAAAGAAAAAAAGTAAGATGCGCGTGTCGATCGAGCAGGCGAGCAGCGCCTTCAGTCCGTACAACAAATCGGCACCGGCGATCCAGCACCACATACAGCAGCGGTCGTATCCTCGGCTCGTAGTCGTCGAGAACGGGAAGAAAATAAGAAACGCCACCGACGACGAGTCAGTGGGTGGCACTAACGGGAGTCTGATACCGAGTTTGCGCTTCGTTTGCCTAGACATGGCGCGAGACACCCCGGGCTCGCCGATGTCGCGCTCGGCGCGCGAGCAACTCGCGGGTGCGGCCACCCTGGCCGCCTCCGGGGCTCTACACGCCGCCGAGCAGGCCGTCGTCACGATACACGAGAGCGCCCTGCAGCAGAAGATGCTCGAGGTAATGTGTCTGTTGTTTTTTCCTTTTTATTGCTTATTCTATATGTTTACTTATTATACGCACGAAAGGCTGTTTATACCTGTACCTCCGATGGCGTGAAATTTCCGAGTTGACAATCATAAAAAAAAATCATTGATCGTTAAGTGTTGCGGTCGAGTATACTTACGCCTCCTCGCCTGTAATGAGATTACGCAATGACAGCGAGGTAAAATTTATAACTTTTTTTTTTTTTTCCTTTAATAAACATTTATCACTTTATCTCCCCTTTGTTTACCGTCTTGCCGAAAAATCTGCGCTTTCGCCTTCACGGCTTCCGGACGGAATTAAATTTTTGTTTGCCCTGTGTTATCTCGAAAAAAAAAAAAGAAAAAAAAATTCGTCAGCTCGAGTTTTGAAGGCCAAGCGAATTACTGTAAAAGCCAATCGAGAATCGACGTTGTATGATCGCGCGGTGCGATTGTAAATACGTTTTTGCGCGTCACGATTTCGAATTTGATCCACGAACGGCATCGATCCGAGATAATCTTTTCTGGATCTCCTGCAATCACCCAGGCCCGAAAATCCAACGCGATAGAGCTTTCGTAAAAAAAAAAAAAAAAAAAAAAAGCACCTCGAAAGATAATACACGGTGCCCGCGTTGTTAAAAATAAACGTTTATTCCTGGAAACGTTTGTCTTTATCGTTTCTCGCTCGAGGCTTTGTGTGAAAGACGGGTATTATCTGCAGTTGTGGAACGTTTGGCCGGCGAAAGTAATTAAAAAAACAAAAACGTCATACCTCGTCGTGCACATCGAACGCTTTATCCATCAACGGTTGCACAACGCAGTGAATTTCTCGTCGATGAACTGCAAATACTTTTGCGTGCATCGTTACAACGGGGGAAGGGATCGATCTAAATCGCGTGAGGTTTGAAAAATAAAATAGACAATGATTATCGACGAGCTAAATGAATTGAGGCTATCATCGTCGTTTCACGGCCTACATATACCTATTACTGCAGTTATTAATGCACGCGTATGGAGGACTATTTATTCCTGCGGCATAGTTGATATTTACCAAAAAAAAAAAAAACAAAAAAACATAATAGTCGAATGAGCTCAAATAAATCGTTCAAACTGTTGAGCGACAATCAGGGAAACTTGAACTGCCGTTTAGGCGTATGAGCAAATCGCGAAGTACGAGGAAGCCGTTCGCGGAGTTTGAAAACTTTCTTCCTGCGATCGATCGATCGCGCGCTCGTTTTCTCTCTCTACTCTACTTTGTAAGTTCAAGGCTGTAACAATGGCGCCCTGCATTTTTCAAGCCGACTTTTCAAAGCCCGGCTCGCTTTTGCGTGCGCGTTGGAGGAGGAGGAAAAACAACATCGAGTTCATTTGGTGGTGTGTCTCGAGAGTTTTCGTCCAAGAGACAAAATGACAGAAAAAAAAAAAAAAAAACAACCTTTCCCGCGTAAACAAAGACCGCTGTATAAAAAACCGCGCACTAACGAAATTCACCCTCTCTTCCCACCGTGTATGGGTCATCCCGTGGCATCGACACGCGCAAGCTCGGCTTGTCGGCTCTTATCTGGAAAACAATATCTATCCTGTGTATACGCGTGTAATTATTGTGGACAAATAATCGTGTCCTCCCTGCATTTTGTTTGTTGACACCCATTGGATACCCCGCCCTCCGAAATAAAAAAACATCACCGACCTTGAGACTTAAGCTCGTGTTTGTTAGGTACGATGAAAAGGGTGAACAAGGTAATCGGTGTCTATAGGTAATGTATATAAAATATTACGTGTCTACGTTAAGGGTGCGAGAAAAAAATATGGCGTCGAGTGAAGGTCGCCAAAGGAAAATCGCTTCTGTGCCGTTGCTGCTGTTTTATTTTTCTCGTTTTCGTTCGATAAAAGTAGGCGAGGGTAACCTATTCTCGATCATCTCGAGAACGGAATTTTTTCCTCTTTTTTCGGTGCACCAGCTAATGTATGTTTACGAAAAGACCAGCAGTTTTCGCGTATAGCCCACGTTATTTCGCTTGAATTTGATTAAACGCGGCTATTAAGCTCGAACACGCGTTAGTTTTATCGTTTTATGATCTACGCTTGATTAATTAAAAAGTAAGTCAATCAACCACACGCTTCTGATGTTTTGTGATTAATTTTACCTTTTTTTTTTCTTTCCTCTTTCAACACACTGGGGAAAAAAAGCATTATCAATTCCCTCCTATGCGGGTTGTAAAGTTTGTTCTCAATTTCACAAAAGGTGTGACTTTCACGTTATAAAATAAAAACAAAGAGGTATCAAAACCATCGTAAAAAAAAAAAAAANCGTGTTATGCTCGTAAAGGAAAAATAAAAAAGAACTAAGTACACGTGTAGAAAATGTATATAAAGCTTCATCCAAAAAAAAAAAAAAAAAAAAAAAAAAAAAAAAAAAATAGATAGTCGTAACAAAAAATCAAGGATGAAAACACCGATGACAAAGGAAAAAAAGGCCGAGTTCGTTCGAGCGACACCGCAACACACGCGCGGTATAACCAACTCGCAGAGCAAATAAATCGAGATGCAGGTTTTCCTCGTGACCTCGACTCGTGGCTTTTCACATTCCCATCACGCGCGCGCTGCTACTTTACATCGCACGCGCCCCGCAGTGAAATTTCATTATTCCGCGCACCATCCTTCCTTCCTTACTCTATTTCTTGCATTTTTTTTTTTTGTTTGCTGTACTACACTGGTACCATCGATCACGTTTAAGCTAATCCGCCTCCAGAGCGGCCAGCTCTTGGCACCTGAGGCTCAGGTACACCATCAACGTCATGCTGAAGGCCGTGACGAAGAACGAACTGTACGCCACAAAGTCGACCGTCCCCGGCAGGCTCTGAAACCCACGAAATCTCACTTTTTCTTTTTTTCAATAGAAAAGTGCCATACTTTCTACTACGAGGCACTAGACTGTACTTGAACTTTAGATTTTTTTTTTTTTTTTTTTTTTTTTTTACTACTAAACACGAAAGCTGTATATGATTGTCGATTTACTTGGCATCTCGCGAGCACGCATACGACGATGGATACAAAGAGCAGCTTGACGAATATCATCCCATTGTCAGCGAGGGCAGCCGATTCCTCGGCCGGGACACGCGGGAGACGGCCGGCTCGTGCGTTGTACTTGCCAAGCCAGTCAGCAATCTCGGGATCTACGGCGTTAGCAGAGCCGCGGTCACCCGACTGACAAAATCGGCAACGAAAATCGGTCGGCCTTTGCAATGATCGATCGCCACTTTTTTTTTTTTTTTTTTTTTTTTTTTTACATTGTATAAATTAAGGCTGAGTGATTTCATAGTTATAAAACATTGCGCTGTATTTTTTTGAATTGGGCCGATTAAAAATCGCGATACTACAATTGTTAAAACGTATACATGTCGACGACGAATTAACGTCCGACCGGACGGTATGCTAATTAATAAATAATCTTCGTTTATAATTATTCGTGGCTTTTTTTCCTTTCTCCCTCTTTTTTTTTTTTATTATCAATTAATGCTGATAATGAAACGGTAAAAAAAAACTTCCCAACTTTTAACGTGAATCCTTTGTGGCTTAATTATTCGGCCGACAGCGGGCAAGCTTCTTGTATTATATTGTTCCACGAACAAAGGAGGCATTATTCGAGCGTCGGCTTTATTTTTAGATCAGCATTAATTGCCGCGATGCGCGTGCACGCGCGCCTTTGGTTTACCTATTACGCGCGTTTCATAATTATTTCGGGGGGGGGGGGGCACCAAAATACAAATTATATTTACGCGCGACGACGATCGGCCCCACCCACTGTCTTATCGTTATCGTCGCAGTTCAGGTGCACCGACTACGCGTATATAAATAAATACACGAATTTCGACGATTACTAAATAATTGTCAAACACACTTAACGACTCCGGCATATACGCACATGTTATGTGTGTATACACGCAGGTTAATGTCACCCGGGTTGGGCGTAGCGTTATCTTTTTTTTTTTTGTTTTTCGTAATCTACTTAGTACTCGTGAAGTTGATTTTTTTCATTCGTATTATTAGAGCTGCCGAAAGAATTTTTTTTCCTTTTTTTTCGCCTCAACGAGTGCCTTCGGTTCCGTCGAGGTTTATAAAGAAAAGCGGAGGAAAACCAACCTGGTGGTAAACGAGGCTAACGGAGACGATGGGCGCCCGGCACAGGGGACAGGGCGGAGGGTCGCCGCTCGTCGGCTTGTCGAGCTTCGCGTGGCAGTAGTTGAGGAGACACCTGGCACAGAGCCGGTGACCGCAACCGGCGACGACACCGGCGCGCAGCGGCTCCAAGCAGATGGGGCAGTCGGTGCCTTCCCCTGCACTGTGGGAACATTTTTACATTTGTTACATGGAAACACACGATGGGGACCGTTTCGATTGCTGTGGCATTGAAGGGGAAAAAAAAAAAAATTACATGTCTGTGTTTCGACACGTCCGATAACTAAGTTTGGGTATAACTCATGTAATCGGTATGTGGGTCGAGCCGGGGGAGGAAACGTAGGAACGCTTACGATGGATAATGTTAGGCCTGCCCATTATCGTATTTCGGGGAAACATTCAAGTGTTTATAGCTTGCTCTTTTGGCTGTTTTTTATTTACACAGCTTATCTATCGACGACGTTTCGTGTGTACAGCTATTTCGGGCCAACGGTACTTATAAACCCATTGTCCGACTCTTCCTGGGAAATGCATTTTTTACCCGGCTATCACGGATTTAATAATACTTACTCGTACAGACACCGACTGTTTATTAAATTTTTCGGACAATTATGTACATACATACACGTATGCGAATGTGAATCTTGCGAGCTCTGAAAATAAGCGCGAAAAATGGTTCGCCAGATACACAGGAAGTCGACGTGAATCAATGATAAATCCGCTGCATTGCATCACACGCGCTCGGGGAAAATCCAAAGATAGGCAAAATCGATTTTTTTTTTTTTTTTTTATTCCTTGCACAAGTTGCACAAAATGTTATCTCTACCGCGAGCTGATCCGATATCTCAATCAAGCGCCAAACTTAATTTCGCCATCCGCTAACGAAGTTTAAGGGTACATTCGCCGAGACCGAATCGCGAGCTAAAATTGGTATTTTTCGATATCCCCGTTCTTACGTGTCTTTTTTAATTATTCACTCGGTATACATCAAGTGTATTTCGTGGTTTATCGATTTTACACGTATAAATAGAGCGATGACGAAGTTCCAAGAAACTCACGTGCGACGTATTCTATAACGCTGTTACTAACTATTACGTGATCGCTTTTCTACATAAAAAAATAGTCATGAACCGTGTGGATAAAGGTAGAAAATCTTTCCTTTTTTTTTTCCAAACGCGTACAATTATAAAATGTATAGTGAAAGGTCGGTCTAACCTATCGGGCATTTGGCGAGCGTCGATGGAAGCGTCGCGTTTTTTCGGACACGATAACCTTCGTTTGAGGACGAAAAAGGCACCGTACGCGAACACGACCATCGCGACCCTGGCCGCGACGTTCCTCCAGTCGACGTCCTCCTCTTGCATCGCCAGGTTTTTGCCGAAAATCACGCTCAGGACCAATCCACGAGCCCTCGTCGCCTCTGTCAAACTCATTTGATCGCGATTTATGGTTACAAGTTCATCGCGAGGGAGGGGATTGACGTGTGTAACCCACACGCGAATTTTGAAATGTGTGTCTAACCCTTTTCCGCGACAGACGCGCTTTTGTTTTTTTTCCAAGGGCCTGCGCGTAGATTGGCGACGAAAAGATGCTCTCAAAGCAGAAGCGCAGCAAACTCGAAATAATTAGGTGGGCGCGTGACGATGACGACGCATATGTGGCGTACATAAAATGACTGATTGCGCTTAATCAAAATCTCGATTCGCAGAGCGCCCGAGACGCCAAGTGCTGGTGTACGAGACGAGGCACACGACCTCTCTTCTTTTTTTTTTTTTTTTTTTTTTTTTTACATTGTATAAATTAAGGCTGAGTGACGTTGATCAATTTCGCGACGCTCACCTACGCGGGAAGTGTTCCTTTGTTCCTACAAAAAATGTAAAAGCGAAATTTCCGTGATAACGAGTTAGGACTAATAATTAAAAATTAAAAATACTCGTAATCCATAATACATTACAGAATTCCAATATTTTTGTGCAGCCGATTTTTTTTATCGATATGTAGAAAAATTTCATACTCGGGGAATCTACATTCTTTCGTCAAACAATGCCTCGTACGAGTGTATAATTATATACCGTTCCCTTGTAGGCGCACAAAGCGAAAGTGACTTCCTAATTTTCACATCGCTTCGCCTCTTTGCTTAATGAAAATTCGACGAGTGTTACTTTTAACGTCGAAATTTCTTACACCGTTGCAAGTACATGCATATTTCGTGATTTTATCGATGAACGAATGATAAATGAATAGCGCGTGGAGATGTACCGGTTACGATCGTGTCACATGATAGTGTTATGCTTTTAGCGATTGTTTTCGTAAACGTAGGATAATTTAAGTATTCCATTTGTTTTCTTGTAACGTTGAAGTTCAAGTTGAATGTTTTTCAATCGCCCTGAATATCTTGCGTATTCGCAACCCTGCACGTGATTCGCTGATCACTGTGCGTTCGTTATCGCGTTTTTATTTCACTAATCGAAAAACTTGAACAAATACCTTCGTACTCGGAACCTTGAAATTGATTGAAACTCAAACGAGAAATCCAATCATTCCCGAGAAATCAAAATTACCGAGCGATCGCTATTTATTACCGATCCGATCGCATCCGTGACGTATGTGGATTTTAAGGGTCAAGTGTACATCTCGTCTTGTATTCTTCTTTTCTCCTCGATCGTTTGCATTTATTTTTTTATTTTTCAAGAATATACGCAGTTATGAAAAACTAAACTAAACTCAATCGACAGACATCACATTATCTATTGTCAACACCCATCCACTACCAAATCACCGTGAATTGCGTTGTAAGTTGTAGTACGATTGTATTCAAAATGTAATTTGATCAGTGACGCCGAGTAACAAGGGTCTCCACAGAGCTCGTAAAGATCTACCACCTTGGACCGCGAGACCATACCGATACCGATCGCGCAATTATACTGTTCAAACCCGCCCCACTACCCTCATTTCTATATGGAGCGTAAAAGCGAGTTGCGCAACACCATTGTGGAACGAGCTCGTTGTTGAATTTGTCCGAAAATAAAAAGGCCGTCGTCTGGAAGATGACGACTCGTGCGAGCAGAGACCACAAAGGACTCGGAATTTTAGACGGACGTCGCCAATCGGGCGGAATTGACCCCGACTCTCCGACATATAATTTCTGCCTGCGTTTCGCATCCACACCTACGCATGTACGTGTGGGTGTACCATATATTATGGCTCCGAAATAGCATTGGCGATCTCGATCTACCGTATCTTATCGGCGAGAGATAATGAGCCTGCCTTTTGAATTTACACATCGCGCGATCGATTTAAAGTTTTGCGACACACGGGTACACCAGTCGCGATAATACTTTCGATAAAGGAAATTTCGCGGTTCATCGGAGTTACAGGTAATAATAACCAAATATTATTATTTATGTTGTCGAATGAGTACGAGCATCGAGACGCGCGACGCGAGAGTATCACCCTTAAGGTATCTGGCTTTGATTCCAGCTACAGCAGCAGCACCAGCTCCAACAGCAGATCCTCAAACAACAGTACCACCAGCGGGAGCGACAACTCGCCGAGCTGCACGAACAACAGATGTACCAGCTAAAGGTTCGCGAACGTTGTTGTAACTTTGTTGCCCCCATCCACACGATATACACGTAACTCTCTGTGATACCCCTGCATGTGTGGAGATTTTTTTTCTCTCGGTTCTTATCTATGGACTTTTTTCTTTTTTCGAATTTCACATACGTGTGCGCGTCTTATCTCTCGGGTCTAGCGTTGTATACACATGACATTTGTAACCCCGACACGTGGAGCAAACCAAACGCGCGCACACACACACGACGAGATATATATTATACGGGCTACACGGAGCGCGAAGGAGCGTTCGGTCGGTCGATCGCCTTATTCTGTTTTTCCATGTGTTTTATTTATAGAACCGCGCGATTCGTCGACGGAAAAGCCCAGCATGCGCGAGCCTCTCTCCGCACATATACGCGCGTTTCTTTTTTAATCTTATTTGTATATACCTGCACGTGTGTACACACATGCCCCCTATACCCCCATCTTCTTATGATGGGACCTTTGCGTGTGTGTAGCTAATACACTTTTTTCGTCCATTATTATTGTTAAGTATTTTATCATTTCGTCGTTTCTACTGGACATTCGTACGCGGAGTCGGACGTTTTCAAAGTTGGTGTTCATATGCTATCGTCCGGGTAATCCGGGGTATTCGTTCGATACGATGAAGAAATAGCCAATTGACGAAACGAGTCGAGCGGTGATTATTAATATATGTATTCGTGCGTAAGGAGCGCGTACGGGCAATTACGTATGTGTATAATATACCTATAAAAGTTTGAATATCGATTAAAAAGGAAAAAGACAATTAACTCGATCGTCCATTAGATTATATGCATGTGTCATTGTTGCTGGTATAACGTAATTAAATGTACCTGCACACGTTTTGCCAAGTTTGTTTTAATGCAACGAGTGATTATTCGTCGAATAATCAATGTTGCAGCTGTGGGAGCAGCAAAAACTCGAGGAGCAGAGGAGGGAAAAGGAGCGAATAGAGGCGCTCAGGAAAAAGGACAAACACGACCACAGCGCAGTCGCCTCGACGGAAGTCAAACAGCGTCTTCAGGTGAGTTTTTTTGCACGTGTTTTTTGTTTGTTTGTCCCATCGTCGAATTGACACCTACCAAAATGTATACCTCCTACCAATGTACCCGTCCATGTGTCGTTGCAGAGCTTCTTGGTGAACAAAAAGCAAAGGGAGGCGGCAGCCGCGGCCAACGGAGCGGGACCCGGCTCGCCCGGATACAGGACCTGGTGAGTGTTTTCAACTTTTTTTCCAACTCCCAATCTGGGTCTGCGGTCCCGCTGTTTATTACCGTTCGAGCACCCAAATAGTTTAACCTTGGAAGCGCGGGTGGAGAAAAAACGCGACTTTAGGCGAATAACGTTTTGCTGTATAATACTTCAGGGCTGGATTTACAAACAAATGATTTGCCACATTTAATATCAGAAACGACGCTACGGGCGATTTTAGCAGTCGATCGTGCTCTACTTGGGAGGAATACGTACATTTTAATTGCAGTGGAGGAAAAAAAAATTAATTAGGAAAATACAAAAGATAGAGAGAGAGAGCCGATAATCGCCTGTTGGATAATGAATATATTTTTCGATTCCTCGTTAATTATCGCTAGGTAAAGCAATCAAAAAACGAGAGTAGGTACCCTGTACGGATAGATAGCCTGTTCTTTATCGAAAGTTGTATTTATAGAACTCGCGGGTCGCGGAAACCTTTTTTTTTCAATTTTTTAGCGATACCGCTGCTTTAGTTCTTATCGCCTGCCACTATTAAGTGCACGAGTGATTTTTCACTCGGGTGCGTTGTTACGCAAGGCGTTCGACTGATTGGAGATGTTTTATGAGATTACGGGGGTGTCGCAGGGAGAGTCAATCGACGCGCTGTGGACTAAAACAATATAAAAAATTTGCGTTATTTCATTTCAAGGTACATATACTTGGTTTCGTTAGCGCCGCGAGCTGATGTGTTTGAGTATTTCTGTGGCGGCAGTCGTTTCGATCTGGAATCCTAATCGAATCGCCAGAGCCGACAGAGATAACTGAAACTATAATTAAATTATTTCGAATTCGTTCGGAGAAGTCATTTCTTCGAGGCTTCGATTAGCTCCGTTTATAAATAATATCCGTGATAGTAAAAAGTGCCAATCGTGTGCCCGTTACTTTATCTCGGACTATATATCGTCGTGTGATTTTTTGGTGAGTTTTTCGAATAAAAACAACCAATGTAATCCACTCGAGTGGAATCTATATATGTGTCGACGGATTATTTTCGTCGCCTTTATACATATCAAATCACCTCGGGAAATTTTGTCTTAGCTCGTGTACCGTCTAAAAATGACATTTTGTAAAAATGAGCGAGTATCGATTCTTGTACGTATATAGGTCTTTTTTAATTATTATTTGAGGCGTGCTTTTTTAACGTATCGAATGATAAAACGAAAAATTTAACTTCATTGGAGTAGTGTTTTTTTGTTTATTAAAAAAATACTCTTACAAAACAAATCGTAGACACTCTTCACAATTCAAGCGTAATGAATTTTTCACAAACTCAACAGCACTAATTTTAGCCATAAGGTCATTAATCATATTGTATACAAATCGAGAGGGCGAATATGCCTAAATGTGAGTAAAAATTACAGGTTATCGTCACAGTCGGAATCGACGAGCTCAACGAGCGCTTCCCATCCATATCGCATGCCGCAGATATTGCAGGAGAAGTTCAGCGACGATTTTCCACTGCGAAAGACAGGTATTTCTATTGCAAGTGGCTTAATGTATTACATAGAGTTTCATGATAACAACCAGATTCGTGTGCCACGCCTAATTTTTTTTTTAGAAAATTTTGAACATTAATTAATTGTCATTAACGATATGTGCTCGCTGCTGGAATGTGCGTTTTTTTTACTAAAGCATGATTAACTTTTTTTTTTTCCTCAATAAGCTCCGATAACTAACGATTTTTATCGGTACGATGGAGTTTATCGATTCGCCAGAGTATATTGAGTTTCTTGGAGCAAGACTCGACCGAGTATCGTTTTTTTCGTGTTTTGAAAGATTAACCGAATGACGTATATAGTCACAGTGTGAGCATGTCGTATTTTTAACAGTTGAGTTTGAAGCCAAAACGAACCTCGAGAGCCAATGGTTGTACCAACGTATTAAACGAGCATAACAATAAACTATTATTAAAATACGGGATGACTTTTATTGAAGTTTTATCAGAATGAAGTTGATTTTTACTGATATGATGATACATACTTTACGTGTTATGCTCGTAAAGGAAAAATAAAAAAGAACTAAGTACACGTGTAGAAAATGTATATAAAGCTTCATCCAAAAAAAAAAAAAAAAAGAAAGAATAAAAGAAAAAATTAACCTAACCCCGGCTGAATCTAATCCCTCGGGCAGCTTCGGAACCGAATCTGCTGAAGGTGCGACTTAAGCAACGCCTTATGGATAAGACCGCCACGAGAAATTCACCCCTGATGGCCAGACGAAACAACCGACTGCTGTCGCACCTCAAGCGGAAGTCACTCTTAACAAGTATGTCTTCCCCCTTCATTTAAACAAAAAAATTAAGAAAAAAAAAAAAAAAAAAAAAAAAAAGAGAGAGAAAAACAGAAATACTTAAGCCAAAATGAAAAACGTTTTGGAGCGTGCCGTCACATTACATGGAACTCGAGAGAATCGCACAGTATTCGTACGTAACTTGTAAGATAAAGCGATTGCCTATTGAAACGGATTCATCGGCATGAGCATTCGATTTTGAGAACCAAATGTGGCAAAAGTACCCATCCGCATCGAAATTGAATGAAAAAAAAGGAAAATTCAAGCTTCGATGTGTCGTAGAAAAAGTGTGTGAATTTTCCATAGCCAGCGATTCCTTCGAACGTCCGTTGGAACTTGGCTGCACCCGTGTTGTTGGTTTTTCTTTTCTGTTTTTTTTTTTCTTTTTTCTTTTTCTTTCTCCACATTAATCGATTGTTGACTTGAAAGTTTTTTTTTGCTAGTGTCTTTGTAACCGCATGGCGAACAATATTAACATATGATAAAAAAAAAAAAAAAAAAATTATACATATACGCGTGCAGCTTCGTTTATCGAGTTCTGGCAGCAGATACCACTATTTTCTCCCTCTCACCTTTGACTTTTTATTTTTATCCATTATGCTTTTGTTTCATCTACTGTTTCTTACAAAAGTATAAATAGAAAAAGTACCAGTTAACGAGTAGATTTTGGCGTCAATTGAAAATTTTACAACACTCGGTGTTAGTCTACTGCCAAAACTCAAAAACGCACGAGAAGAAAAGTAAAAGAAGTGGAAAAAAAAAAAAAAATTAAAAAATAAAGACACCACCGAAACAGAGATCCCCTGCAAGGCCCAAGTAACCCGTGTGCCCGTGTCTCTGCTCGTTTCCAGACTCCAGCAACTCCGAGTCCGGGCCCAACTCGCCCCCTACGGTCAGCAACTCGCAGTCGTCGCCAACGGCGAGCGGCAGTTCCAACACGCCGATCCAAGAGGAGGGCGAAGGCGCAGCCTACGCGAACCGGCTGAGCAGCGCGGCCAGCCAACAAGGCAGCCTCTCCGACCTGTCCCTCTTCAGCTCGCCCTCGATGCCCAACATATCGCTCGGCAGGCCGCGCGTACCCTCCAGCTCGACGGTGAGTTGGGACGCACGTGGTTGGGCGAACGCAAGGTGTTTTTTTCAACTTACACATCCATAATATGGTATTATCGTCATCATCAGCCCGTCGTCCGATCTTTTCGCGCTCCGTCGCTCGACCGGATACAATACCTCATACATATACACAACATCGCCACACCCAACGGTTACAAGTGACAAGTCGAAACTCTAATGCACCGTGTGCTTTTTTTTGTTTTTAATCAACAGAGCGGCCCGAAACTAGCACCTGTGTCCGAGGCGGAGGTGCGCGCGGCGTTCACCGCTCGGCTCGGGATGCCCCTCACGGGGCAGATGTTGCCGGGCACCCTGCCATTTTACCCCTCGCTGACGGTGATCGACGGCGAGCCGGCTTACAACCTGCACAAGCACGTGCAGAGCAGCTTGGAGCAGGCAGCGGTGGCCGCCGCGGCCGCGGCCAACAACCAATCGGCCAAACAACAGCAGCAACAACAACCGCCACCCACGATATACCACCCGACACCCATCACCGATACCCAAGTGGCTCACGCGAGACTGCACAAGACTGGCCATCGGCCACTAGGTAGTATGTTCGCCCTGCTGTTGTATTTTTTCGCACACTGTACACGCCCCCCCCCCCCCTTCCTCGCGGAGTTGACGGTCTAGTGTTGGAAAGGGATCGAGGATTACTCAACCAAATGTTTGTCGCTCCCTTTCAGGGTCATTTAGCTCCTCTTTTGCTGCGAATCTTTTATTTCGAGTCGACTCCACACTAGCAAAATTCGCTCCGCGTTGTATTGGAGCCTGTATTACATTATCACATGTGCGTGCGGGTGGTCGTCCATTAGTTTACCGATCGTGAGATTTATTTTTCATGTGTTTGAACTCACGCGATACATCAGGGACGACCACGCGCTCGCACAGCCGCGGGCTTCGTGGATTCCGACTGATCCAGAAGCCCGCACCACCTGCCCGTGATCTAACCCCTCGACTGATCCGCTGATTTTCCTTTCGTTGGCCCAAAATAGGCAGGACCCAATCGGCCCCTCTACCGCTCGGCAACCCGATGCTGCAGGGTATAATAGTCCCGGCGCCGCCACCGACGACGGCCACCCACTACGAAGAGTACCTGGCGGAGAAGCAGCTGCACGAGCAACAACAGCAACAGCAAACGCAGCACAACTACCTTAAACAGCAGATCAGGCAGACGGTGCTGACGCGAGTGGGCTCCCGCAGCCAGCAGCTCGACGAGGCGCCCGAGTCCGAGGAATCGGAGGTCATCGACCTCACCGGCAAGAAAGACACTTCGGGTCAGTGTTGGCGCAACCGCTTCACAAAGGATTAATGTTGGTTGGGAAAAAAAAAAAAAAAAAAATTAATCATCCACTTTCCAACAGCCACGAGCGGTAGGAGCAGCAGCAGCAGCATCGAGGAGAGCGAGATATCGAAGCAGCAGCGCGACCGCGAGCAATTCCTTCAGCAGCAGCGCGACCTCATGATGCGCCACACCCTGCAAGCCACCGACGCCACGGTCTACACGACGGGCAGGAGCGCCCAGTCGGCGAGGCCGCTCTCGAGGGCCCTCTCCAGTCCGCTCGTCCATCTCGGTCCCCAGGGAACGGTAGTGGCCGGAGGAGCCAGCGAAATGTACGCCCGGAGTCCGAGGGAGGCGCCGACGACGGGTCTGGCGTACGACGCGCTCATGATGAAGCACGCGTGCGCCTGTGGGGAGACGGTGCGCGGCCACCCGGAGCACGGGGGCAGGCTGCAGAGCATCTGGGCGAGGCTCCAGGAAACGGGGCTGCTGGCGCGCTGCGACAAGGTGCGCTCGCGCAAGGCCAGCCTCGAGGAGATACAGACGTGCCACACGGAGGCTCACACCTTCCTGTTCGGCACGAACCCGCTGTCCCGGCAGAAGCTCGACCTGTCCAAGGTGCCGATCCAGAGCTTCGTGCGGCTGCCCTGCGGCGGGGTCGGGGTCGACAGCGACACCACGTGGAACGAGATGCACACCGCGTCGGCAGCGCGCATGGCCGTGGGCTGCGTGGTCGAGCTTGCCTTCAAGTGCGCCATGGGAGACGTGCGCAACGGGTTTGCCGTCGTCAGGCCACCCGGGCACCACGCCGAGGCCAACCAGGCCATGGGCTTTTGTTTCTTCAACTCCGTGGCCGTGGCTGCGAGGCTGCTCGTTCAGAAGCTCGACATGCGCAGGATACTCATCGTCGATTGGGTGAGTGTACATTATATTTCATCGTGTGCACTTGGCTGGTGATTCAAACTTGGATTTTTTTTTTTTTTTTTTTTCGTCAATGAACTCGATCAAATTGAAGATGAGTGAATTTGAATTGCTCTTTTACTCTCCTGCGGCCCTGGTACGTAATTTCGAGATTTCTTTCGTGAGTGAGCACGAACAATAGTTTGCCGGGCTGGAAAAGAAGTAATATTTACATTCGTACTTGAAGAATGTCATCTCGAGTCCAATAATAGTACATACAAGTACTTACACTGAATCACGGATTTTGAAAATGTTAACGAGTTTAAAACACACCGATAGGACGGGCCCTCCTTTTCGGCCGATTCTCATTTCAAAAGTATAGCGATCGACTCTTTTCGGCTCGTGGTCTCCTGATACTTTGACACTTAAATTCTGTGGTTAAAGTGGCTCATCGAGACTTAACCAAAATTATGGATGTGTATCTTCATTTTCCTACGCATGAGATGAAATACATTCATAACTCGTTTATAACCTCAACCACTGAAATTATCAATTATTGAGTGAGGTCTTTTGATAAAATATGCAGACTTACTTTCAATAAATAAAAATTTACATTTTTTTCACGATTTTTACGCGAGGTTTCGCTTATCACACAAAAAACAAGTGTGGCCTTTAAAAGGACCTATCTGTACCGTTTCACATTTCTTTGTGGAAAGAGCAATTGTATAGTAATAGTTGTCAATTCTCTATAGGAATCAAAAAGAAAAAAACAATAGTTTGATGAGACGATCCGACAATAAATATACACTCTTTCGCGCCAATAGTACAGTAAAAAAAAAAAAACTCGGCCACCTTTTCTCCGCGTCATGTTCTCCTGGTACGTCCGACCGTAAAAAATCTCGTAATGTTCGTCGACGATCGCTTGAAGGACGTATTTTCAAAAAGATGTCCAAATAAAGACATGCCGCATAACAGGCGAACATGACGACGATGGGGGTGCACGTGTGTGTCAAAATTCTGGGCTTTCATCACATCATGTTCCTTATAAGACAGTCATCGTCGAGGAAAATAACCGAACAAAATGTTTTTAGGACGTGCACCACGGCAACGGCACCCAGCAGATGTTCTACGACGACCCGCGAGTGCTGTACCTATCGATCCACAGGCACGACGACGGCAACTTTTTCCCGGGCACTGGTGGGCCCACGGAGTGCGGGGTAGGCGAGGGCCTCGGCCGCAACGTGAACCTCGCTTGGTCCGGAGGTCTGAGTCCCCCGATGGGCGACGCCGAGTACCTCGCGGCCTTCCGCACGGTCGTCATGCCCATCGCCAAGGACTTTGACCCCGACCTCGTCCTCGTGTCCGCTGGCTTCGACGCCGCCCACGGCCATCCTGCCCCCCTCGGTGGCTACAAGGTCAGCCCCGCCTGCTTCGGACGCATGACCCAGATGCTCATGACGCTTGCCTCCGGGAAAGTCGTGCTAGCACTCGAGGGTGGCTACGACCTCGCGGCCATCTGTGACTCGGCCCAGGAGTGCGTCAGGGCCCTGCTCGGCGACGAGCCGACGCCCATCAGGCACGAAGAGCTCACCAGAAGCCCCTGCCAAAACGCCATCGACACCTTACAGAAGACCATAGCCGTCCAGGTATGCCTTTACATACTTACTCTCTAGCTTACCAAAGAAATTCAATTTTTAAGTATAAATCATGCGAATGACGATATTGTTGTTGTTTTGCAGATGTCACACTGGCCTTGTGTCAAACTTCTGGCGCACACGGTGGCCATGAGTGCCATTGAGGCGAGCCAGAAGGAACACGACGAGACCGAGACGGTCTCGGCCATGGCGTCCCTTTCCATGCAGCAGCAGAGCAATCTCGCGTAAGTCCGGCAACAACTTTAGTCTCTCTGCGACTTGAGTTGCGCGAGCTTTCTCTACACAGTTTGACGTTTGATTTTGAAATCCGTAGAAGCACACCAGAACATTCCCGCGAAGTGTCGGAGGAGCCGATGGAGCAAGACGAAGCCAAGTGAAGGGAACAAACGCTACAACTTGCTGCCGTCGGATTATGAAAATTTCTTTTTTTTTTTCCACACCGTCATCGTCGCTCTCGTCAGCGCTATGTTCGACGAAGACGCGGACGGTATACATATATGTGTATGTATATATACTATATTATCCTGTAGTTCCTCGTCGTGGGATCCTGAACGGAAGATTGCGAGGGGATACATGCGGATAGGAGGGATTTTTTTGAACTCGGGAATTGAGCTCCTGTGCTGTCAGAATAATGTTAGGAAGCTATTCCGCAGGGCACTAATAACTTCTGTGCCCGGCCGCAGACTGAATGTTGGTGCTGGGGGCCGTGGACAGATGGACGCGAGAAATCGAAAGGGTCTCTGATTGTTACTGTTGATGTTGTTTAACTTGTATACATACTTACTTACGCATGACATTAAATGGAAGTTTGTATAAATTATGTAAAAATTGACGCGAACGCGCGACAGATCACTGCACGAGTTTACTGTGAAGTTTTTTTTTTTTTTTTTTTTTCTTTTTTTTTTTTTTTTTCATCTTTACTGTTTTTTAACTTCATTTTGCCATTCTTACGGCGGAAGCTGAATGCATTACTCGTGAGTTTTTTCTAAGTTTCTCCGCTGATACCTATGTGAGTACAATCGCCAGCGTAGCGAAACTTGACGTTAGACTTACATCACTTACGAAAAATTGAAATAGGAAAAAAATAATAATAATAATTTACGCAAAATTGTTCGTCCCCATTCTTTGTTTGTTGTTATAATTCAATGTCTAGTGACGATTGATAAAGTAACTTTTCAATAAGACGGACAACGTGAATTTAATTTGGAACTGAAATCTAGAAATATGACGGGTATGGAAACGGGAACCGATCACTCTGTTTCGTTTGCTAAGTATATGTATACACTATTGAAGCAAACTCATTGTACATACTTATAAATATACATATATAAATGAAGATACTCGAAAGAGCGATTGATTTTTATTTGATGAAGCAATTGGTGTCGACTGATTAATTTTTATAGAATTACGTACATATGTGCGTAATAATATGTATATTGCATCGCGCACATGACTGTGCGAGAACGTTTCTTCTTATTTGTTAAATTAATCGTGCATTCGATCGATATGCTTTCTTTGTGACTTGTGATCGAAAGATATGTTTATCGTTGAATTATCGTGCACTAAGTGGTTTCAAGTGAGCTCACTTGCTTGAGACAAGAGCAAGTTTACGATTAAGTATACACGCGCATTCGCTTGGAAGATGCGTTTTAAATGTGTATTCGTGAATTTATAAGGAAAATATGAGTAAACACGTTAAGACAGATAATAGTTTTTAAGGAGATTTTTTGTAAAGGCATCGGCGCTGGACGCCGGCGAAACCTTAGGTCCTTTGTTTCGCTCGATCGAGACGCAAGAGTAGAAATCAGGGCGCATCATGCGACTGCGTTAGCTTTTCCGGGCTTGGGAGAGCGAAATCTTTTTTTTTTGTAACATAGTTCTTGTGGGGACGCGCCAACACACATGTGATTCTCGTTGGGGTATACTTAGTTTTCGGCTGCGAACAAAATGTGGTGCGATTTTTGTGATATTTTGTAAAACTGTTAAGGTAAAACGAGTCTATTACTCTACGAGAATTTAAGGAAAGAAACAAAATCGTCGATATTTATAGTTGGCCGATCTTTCGGGAATGTTTCTAGGTGTTAGTCTTTTTTGAAAAATATGAACGCAACAAACGACACGAAGATTAATATTATCAGAAAAGCAGCTGAACCTCTTGTACGGAAACAATACGAGCATTTATTTTTGTCGTGCATTTTAACGATTTCGAAGATAAAGAGGAAGAATGAGATAAAAATATATGGCGATAGATGACGTATATAAAAAAAATTTATCATCAAACGAAGTACAGATACTATAAATAAATACATATATGTTTACATGAAACTTTGTCATACAAATAAAAGAATTATATATATACATACGTACATACATAAATAGAAAACGTATTATATGAAATATATGTATATTGCATAGTTATTATTATGATTATTTTTATTGTAACAATAGTTTGTAAAACGAAGAGATAAGCAGTACAAGAATCTCAAGTGTCTGATAATGTTGATGTATTGAAAAAGAGTTTACTTTGACAATGTGAGCTTAAGGAGACACAAAAATATATTAAAATATGTATTGAAAAAGAGAAACTTATAAGGTCACGTCGATATTAAATTTTTAAATCAATCAAGTGCGTGAGCACAATACGTAGCCTACATTATGCGTGTATACGTCGTGTATGTACGTGTTACGTCACATGTAGCTCTAAGCAAAAAATCGAATAAGTCGCATGCACGTTTGTTATTTAAAATGTGTCTAATTAAAAAAAAAGGAATCAATTCTGATGGTTAAAAAAAAATTTTTTAAACACGGAAACAGTAAACGAATGCTTTATTTTTTACAAAAAAAATAAAAAAGAGTTATATTACTGTATTGTGTGATTAATTAATTGGCTGAGGAAAAAAATAGACACTATAGCTGATTCCGATAGTTTGTTGAGTTGTACATTCAAAGATAAGTGTACAAGTACTAAGAGAATATATATATATTGTCCTATGCCTTTTTGGAAGGAAAGAAAGGCCTATACAAACTTATAGAATGTTTTCACTTTTTCCAAAGCACAATCTTGTTTGTTTGTTTTTTCAAAGCTTTAAATTGTAAAGATTCAAATAAATAAAAAAAACTATAAATAGTATATTGTACTTGCGACATTCCGATATCATTTGTCATTTGTAGATTATGTGTTATTTTTTGTGCGCCTGCGTCTGAGAGTGTGACACATTTTGCAACGATCGACGAGCAAAGTTGAAAGACAATGACAATTATGAAATGATGTGCGCGCGGGTAGATGTGCAATCATACATAACCGTACGTTTAAAGTACTGTCATGGTCAAATATGTACATGTAAATTAGTATTATAAATGACAAATTTGAAATAGGTAAAACACAAACCCGTAAATAATAATGATGATGTTATTGGTCGTGCACGAGACGTTAAAATACGTTGACGATGTCTATGTTAAACATGCCGTTAATTGTAACAGTCATACATTTTTTATGTATATAAATGTACCTCCTAAATTAGTTTTAAAAATAAAATTATAATGATTGTCATACATTTGGATTATTTTTTACCCATTTAATAAAATTTTAAAAATTTGAAGATGAAGAATGACTTATCTTTAATTTATTTTTTTCAATTGCAATTGTTTACATGGAAAAAAAATCTGTATTTTTCCTCTACTATCACTGCTTTGTATGTAATGTAAATTCTCAACAACTTAAATACTTTCGTGTTTACCTGCCACTGCTTATACAAAATAGAAGATATTTGGACTCGAAATAAAAGCTGCTGAACTACAAGCCCTTTTTTGCCTGTCATCCGTTCCGTTCGGATTAAGGATGTTGACGTTTAATTGTCAAGTCGAACTAGTCGAAACTAAAAAAGTATACATTAACCATTTTATGCTACCAGCAAAAAAATTAAATAAATACTAGTTACACGTCGAATCATTTAAAAAGTGATAAGATAAAAGAACTGACTCAAAACCTACTGAACTCCTCACCTTAATCTCGCGCGAGTTTCAATTCAATAATTTATTTTTTTTTAATATCTGAAAGTTAATTTTAGGATGCTAATGTGGTATTGCAGGTGTAAGTATCGTTGCTAAATTTGCCTGTTACTTATTATGCCGGACGATTTCCATGCTAAGTCGACGGGGTACCTACAATTACATAAACATCGTGAAATAAATTAAGGGCATCAGTTTTCGCAAATGGTCTTCTTTGTTATGCGAAAGAGGAAGTGTTGAGTGATATTTTATTAATTAAAACACTAATGTTGTATCTTACTCTAATAATTTCAACAATTTATTTATCATAACATTACCATCAATCGAAATTCACGTTGGACACATAGATTACGATAAATATAGTTTTAAAAAATAAATAAATCTTAGTTCATCACCATTACAATTGCTGATGCTATGGAAGTCTGTATATTTACAAAATACCTCAATTGACATAAATCTGCCTCATAGTTGCGGATGGCCAGCTGGAGATGATCCTGACCTTTTGATTGTCATGAGAATAATCTCTTGGTTGCCCAAGGATTAAAGGATAAGCCAAGTGATACAAGTTGGTTCACAGAAAATTGGACGAAAACTAATTTTTTCTTTTTTTTTTTTTAAATATCCTTCACTTTGAATATGCCATTAACAGAGTTTACAGAATAATTGCTTGAAATTAAACTGGACTTGTTTCTTATTATATGTATTATGTATAGTCACCCGCTCCGTTAAAACAGATCTATTCGACTTATTATTGCTTTAGTGCTTTTAGGATGACACTATGCTATATTGTTTTATTTTAACAATTTAATGTTATTATCTCAAGACGAAAACTAATTTTTTTTTTCCCCCGATTCTGATTCAATCGTAGCTACTCCGAACCAATCAGAGTTAAGCTGTTCAGTAAATGAGTAGAGGGGGAAAGAAAAGTGGCTCGGTTCAAAAATCATTCCCCCACCAACTGACCAAGCTGCGCTCCGATTGGTTCGGAGTAGCTGTTGGCCATTTTGCGTGATAAGCTGTTTAACTCAATGAAGATGTAAACAACGGTCCGTTTCAGGGCCAACAATGTTATTACTACGCAATGGAGTACTCCGTCCGAATAGATTAAACATCTTACTTTGAATCGTACGTAAACCTACATTGGTGTTTTCCCACAAAAAGTTCGCAAATTCTTATTAATAACTCGATTTATTTCAATTGAGGTATTTTGTAAATATACATTCTTTCAAAGCATCAGCGATTTTAATGGTGATGGACCAAGATTCTTTTTTTTTCAACTAATTTTATCGTAATCTACGTATCCTATTAAAAGATAGGGCCAAAGCAAGGAGATTACGCTCATCTTTAGCTGGCCATCCTCATCGAAGAATTAAACAACGACATGGTAGCTCAAAGAGATGTTTTGCCCCATTTTCAAGCTGTTCTGTTGCTAAAACAAAACGCGATGAAAGGAATCCTGAGTAAGTAAATTTCAAAGTAATTAGCAATCGGCCCTTTTTTAAGCCAACTTCATATCTCTTATGAAACATATCATTTGGTCAGCGTAACGTATTTACGCATACCCACTTTTTAATGCAATATATGTGTTAATCTAACAAATTAAATGGTAAGGAATTTTTTTAAGTCACTAATTAAGGAATTTTGTATATTAGAAGACATTTTGACACGATATTCAGCGTTGTGTAATTTGCGAAGCAAAATCTGGCCGAAAAATGACGGTTACTGGTATCACCGTGACGACCGTGTTTCGGACAAACGGTATTGTGACCGTCGTGTTTCAGCCAAAGCTAAAACGTCACTTTTTAGTTGGAAATCAGGAACGCTAGATAGCGCTGATACGGTAACTTTCATTTTCACTGTTTACAGCTCCTAATCAAACGCAATGAACTCTTAAAATGTTGAATCGCGATTTATAGTTAAACATAGTGTCATTTAAAAGGTTTTATTTGTGTAATGTGAATTTCGATTTATGGTATTGTTATGGTTAATAAGTACCTGTAATTACTAGAGTAAGATACAACATTAGTGTTTTAATTAGTAAAATATCACTCAACACTTCCTCTTTCGCATAACAAAGAAGACCATTTGCGAAAACTGATGCCCTTAATTTATTTCACGATGTTTATGTAATTGTAGGTACCCCGTCGACTTAGCATTGAAATCGTCCGGCATAATAAGTAACAGGCAAATTTAGCAACGATACTTACACCTGCAATACCACATTAGCATCCTAAAATTAACTTTCAGATATAAAAAAAAAATAAATTATTGAATTGAAACTCGCGCGAGATTAAGGTGAGGAGTTCAGTAGTTATTAAGTCAGATATTAATTTAAA